GGCACTATCCAACATCACTCAACTCGTGAGGTTTCAATTTGTAGCTATCCCCACGCAGCGCGTCTATGTGTCTGGCAAACTCGAAAATCAATCCATCTGTGAGCTTTCAGTATGCAGCTATCCTCACTCAACACGTCTATGTGTCCGGCAATCTCCAATACAAATCAACCTGTGAGGTTTCAGTATNCTCAACACGTCTAGGTGTCTCCCAATCTCCAATACAAATAACCTGTGAGGTTCAATGTGTGTCTATCCTCATTCAACGCGTCTATGTGTCCGGCACTCCAACATCAAACAACCCGTGGGGTTCCAGCAGCTATCCCCACGCAACCCGTCTATGTGTCTGGCAATCCCAAACCTCCCCTTTCCGTGGGGGGGCGTGGGGCGGGCGGTGGGGGGGCTCGAAAAAAGGCAAGTTGCAGCTGACGGCGGGGCGGCCGGATCGAGGCGCGCCGGGGAGGCGGCCAAACATGAAGTGCAACTTCGGAGCGGCAGAGATGGAGGAAGGAGGGGTGTACTCATGCAATGCACGGTGGTCACGTCATTGCGACACATGCGATATGTTGCTCTCTGAGAACAAGCGGCACGAGGTAGGGGAGTAACCGACTGCAAAGCACCGCATTTGTTTTGTGCACAGCGCCCGGGTCCGCATCCTTGCCTGTCAAAAACTGCGATCACCCTTGCAAGTTTTTTCTTGTGGTGCCGTGGCTGCTCGCTGGTCGATCACGCTTCACCTGCTCGCAGGCAACATCAACAACGTCAACACCAACATGACCAACACCAACAACATGGACGATACGCACGCCTCTCAGTCGCGCGTACCTGCCATATGTTCGCGCGGTGCTGGCCCTCCGGCGTAAGATCATCTCCCCACGGGTACCGCGGCACTGCCCTCCCCCTTTCCTCGCCCTCGCCCTCGCCCTCGCCTGCTGCTTCTACCGGGTCGCCCTGAGCGGCACGCTCCCACTCCGCCTCGCTGGGCAGTCGGCCGCCCCTCCAACGGCAGTACGCTTTCGCGTCGTTCCAGGACACCTGAAGGTCGATTTTCCCGCGTATTTGTGCACCCGGTTCGTCCTTAGGCTATCAAGTTTCAACGTGTACGTTTCGTAACAGCGTGGTACGACCCAGAGACCTAGCTGTTGTTGTTTGTCTGATCAATATTGCCGGTTTTCCGGCTAACGTTTGTAGCCACCATCGGTATGAGGGTAGCTGCATGTTGGGTTGTCAATAACCAACAGCATGGAAACATGGTTCATTGGCGAACCGCTCCGTTCTGAACAAGTGTTGGCATGCTGGGACAGAAAAGTTGTCTGCGAGTGCTTGCAGACAGATGTTTTACGGGTGGTTCGGCCCTTACAGTGTGTTGTTGGCCCTGGAGTAGGGCTGGCAACAAGAAAATCGTGGGGGGGGGGGGACTCTTATGTT